GGTTTCACCGTGTTGACCAGGATGGTCTCGATCTCTTGACCTCGTGATCCACCCGCCTCGGCCTCCCAAAGTGCTGGGATTACAGGCGTGAGCCACCGTGCCCGGCCTGATACTTTATTTTTGTAGAGATGGGGTCTCACTATGTTGCCTAGGCTGGTCTTGCACTCCTGGCCTCACACAATCCTCCTGCCTTGTGGGTCTGATCCCACATTCTGGGTTCCTGGCTGCACTGGATGTTCTAGTTGGTTCCATTTTTGGCTGCAGCTCCTTAGTTCCAATAACACTATTCCAAGTCACTGGAAAGTGGTCTCCAAGAGCCTTGTTTCCTTTGAAGACATATGGCTGCTTCTTACATCACTACTAGTTTCTCTAGACCTACAGGCTTTTTCTTAACTCTGCTGGTTCTATATTTCCTTAAACAAACTGCTTTTAATTTAACCTCTTCAGCTTGTTCAGACAATATACATTTTCTCTATCCAATTAGTTTCCTTAAAAGAGGTAAAATATACATAAATTTGCCATTTTAACAATTTTTAAAGCATACAGGTCTGTGGCATTAAGTACATTCACAATGTGGTGCATCCATCACTACTGTCCATCTCCAGAACTTTTTCATCTTTCCCAGTGGAAATTCTTAATATTAAACACTAACTCCTTAATCCTTCCCTACTCCCTAGCCCCTGATAATCAGCATTCTATTGTCCCTAAGAATTTGGCTAGATATCTGATATAAATGGAATCATCCAATGTTTGTCCTTTAGTCTATTTCACTCAGCATGTCTTCAAGGTTTATCCATGTTGCAGCATGACAGAATTTTTTTATAAGGCTAATATTCCCTGTATATATTTATATACACATTTTGTTTATCCATTCATCAATGAACATTTGAGTTGTTTCCACCTTATGACTACTGTGAATAATACTAAAAATACTGACATACAAATGTGTTTGTGTCCCTGCTTTCACTTCTTTTGGGTGTATACCTAGAAACGGAATTGCTGGATCACATCATTTTTTGAGTATGGTTTATACTGTTATCCACAATGCATACAACATTTCCACCAGCAATGCACAAGGTCCTTTGTGCACATCAAGTCATTTGCCCATTTTTTGAATTGTTCTTTATATATTTTCAATATTATCAGATAAATGATTTGCAAATATATTCTCCCATTCTGTGTGTTGCCTTTTAACTGTTGATAATGTCCTTTGAAGTAAAATTTAAACATTGTCTTTCTTTTGCTGCCCATGCTTTTGTCATAACATTCAGAAATCATTGTCAAACCAATTGTGAAACTCCCAGTTTTCTTCTAAGACTTTAATTTTCCCCTAGTTAATTCTTGTATATTGTGTAAGGGTCCAATTTCATTCGTTTGCATGTGGATATCACATTTTCCCAACACCATTTGTTTAAGACCGTCCCTTCCCCATTGACTGATCTTGGCACCTATGTTGAAAATCACTTGACCATGTATGTGAGCAGTTATTTCTGGGCTATTCTATTCCATTGGTTTATATGTCTGTCTTTATGCCAGGACCACACCTTTGTGATTACTGCAGCTTTGTAGTATGGGTTTCCTTTGCATTCCTGAAAGATACACACTTTATCTGGCTCATGTTGAGTTCTTAAACCCCCCTTGTTTTCTGACAAGATTAGCACTCCCTGTAGTACTCAACTTCAGTTAGGTACAGCTGCGCATGGGGGACCGGACAACAAACAGGTAAGCCATTCCACATGGTGTCTGGTTCCCTTGTAACAGAAAAGGCACAATCGCTAGAGTAAAACTGTCTGCCTTTACTCATCATAGAATGAGTCAGTAAAATATGGTTTGTCCATGTGCAGAAACATTATACATTCAACTTTGAAGAAGGTAGTTTTTAAACGACCAATGAAAGAAAAGTATAAAACTGAGAGGAAAAAAGACGATAGTGAGGAGTTAAAAGGCAGAGTTTATTTGTCAAAGTGCTAAGGCCTACGTGCACAAAGATTTTAAGTGAACAAGAATTACATAGGGTCAATTCTTCCATTCCGACTTCTCTTGGTGCTGGTGAAGGGTGCGATGCATTCATAGAATTAAGACAGGTTTTTAAAAAAAGGTGAAAGCACTTACAGCTATTTTTTTTTTTTTAATTTCTAGAGTTTCATTTGTCATGTTCTCTAGATCTTTCATGGATTCCAGAAATTTTGTGTATTCTCCAAGAACTTGCTTTCTAATCAGTACTTTATTATTAGAGAATAAATTAAGATTTTTGTCCCAACCTAGAATCTGTCTCCTTATCTAACAAAAGGGTAACCAAATCCAAGACTTTGGAAGGATCTGATTAACTTAAAATGTGTGCAAAATGATTTTATGTAGGTTAAGCTGGGGTCACTACTGAAGAAGTCTCCAAACTACTGAAACTTGCCTAAAAACCTAAAATGAAAAAAAACTGCTGACTTAGGGTCAAAGCCCAACTCTAGCATTTCCAAGCTCTAGGTATCTGAAGACATTAGATTCTGTTTTTTAAAAGAATGTAAAATTTTATGTACAATACTTTCCATAGGAAAGATATACGCTGTGTGAAAAATAGTTCTAAAGTATCTTCAGATATTTTGGTAACATTTAATGCAGTGCTTTCTAATTGGGCGAATTTGAATCTTAAATATTTAAATATTTCAAGAATCCCTAACTTAATAATAAGTATTGACTCAAGTTGGTCTAATATAGTGTTTAGAAAGCCAAGTTCCATTTCACTTGGTAAGAGGTACACAATCCTAAATCCTGATTAGTGGCAAAGCCACCACAGTTCAATAGAAAACTAGTCTTTACTCCAGAGAATGTCTCAAATCAAGCTCCAGGTTACACTTACGGCAATTCAACATTACATTAAGTGAGTCTAAAACCTTAAAATGAAATCTCTCAAAAATGGAATAAGCTACTTAATTCAAAGTTTACTTAAATCCATTTAAAACCAAATTCCAGGTTATCTTTCTTCTCCCTAAAGCATCCTCTAGGTTTTACAATTAAGAAGAATATCAGGATTTTAAAAAATTCCCTTTAGGTTCTTTAGGGTTTGAAGCAGTACAAAGACCGAGGTTGAAGTCACTCTTCAGGAAAACCACTATCTAGCCACACCTCATCTCCAAGTTGATCATTTCTGGCTCTTTTCCTGGTTTCACTTGTTCTTCCTGTCACAAGATCTCCTTCCAGGGAATCTCTTTTTAGGTTAAGGCAGAAAGTTACATGGAAGTACAGTATACAATCCCCATGAAAAAACAAAACAAAACAAAAAAACAAAACCCCCTCAAAACCCAATCTTGTTAAAGGTTACCAAGTATTAGGAAAACCGAGGACATCCATCCTCCTGGTTCCTGGACAGAGTTGAGACTACATTACATAATGGAATACACCAAATTCTTCTTTGAAAAGCGCTAGAGTTCTGCTGAAGCCCTTTTAAATTCAAGTTGTGACTTAAGAGAAAAAAAAAAAGAAGAAAGAGCCAGTTCTACAACATTAGAAAAGGACAGAAAGTAATTTTATCCATTATGGAAAAAAGCTGGGATGCAAAAATTACGAATGAAGACATACAGTTACTTATCATCTGTAAGATGAAAATCATGTTTTAAGAAAAATTCCCTTTAGCTCCTTCTGGGTTTGAACAGTGACAGGAAAGCTGCATTATTTACTCAGCTGTATTTGAAAGAGTTAGTTTAACAAAACACTAACTTACTGACCTAAATTAGAAGACAGGGATTGCTGTTGGCCTGCTTCTAATTTAGATGTCATAGATTTCTCGAAATTTCTATAAACAACTTTAGCTATTCCAACAATAGTTCTCAAAAAAGGTGCACTTTATTAATAATGGCTACTCACTTCCACACTTTCTTCGTCTAGGGACCTTCCTTCCTTTCTTCATGTGTTTGCCACTATTGTGTCCAGTGTCTCAATCCATTTTTCAACATATCTTGGGGAAAAGTTTAGCATTTATTCTCCTTGAGCCCAGAACTTGAAATATGCTGTATGGTCACTACTTTAGGAAAACCTTTCTGCAATTTACATGACTATTTTCACTTACCTTTGTATAACCAGCACTTTAATAGTGCTTAGCACACAGTAGGTGCTCTATAAATACTTGAATTAGTAAATAACATGATTCTTACATAAAAAATTAGACTTCTAAAGACCAGTTAAGGTCAGGTAGTCTCAGAAGCAATGAACACAGGTTTCTATGACTCTGTGAAGTAAATAAAGGGTAGCTGGAGGTCCAAGTTGTAGCTGTCTTGTCTTCTGGTATGTTGCTTTCTCCCTCAGCTGCAGACCAACTCTACTTGCAGGCACCCAGGTCATCACCTGAATATAAATTTATCTTCCCACGAGGTAGGAGGCCCATCTAAATAATGATAAATATGTACTAGAAATGGGGAGTCAATCTTTGTAAATGGTCATTATGGATTAGTTTGTACACATTTAAATATTTTACCTTCATTCCTATATATGGAAATTATGAAGATGCTGATGTTCCCTGAGACTTAAGTTTCCTTTAGAAATAGCACATTTTCAGCTAAGATCTAGACTGCTGTTCTCTTGGAAGGCTGAATTACCTTCAACGTCTCGGGACAACCCAGATATTTGACATTTCAATATTTAAAAAATAAAAATTGTCTTTTAAAAAGCCAATGTAAAGAAAAAAAAAAAGCCAATGTATCCTTAACTTCCAAAATACACTTTTTTTTTTTTTTTTTTCAGTGAAAATAACCACAACTGGGCAATTATGGGAACTAGTGAACTACAATAAAAAGTCAGTCTCATGGGTCATCAAGATACATTCTTGAAAATCTGACCTTAATAATTTTTCTTTCAGGTCATCAATGATTCAATGTATTATTCATTTGTTAAAAATTGGGCTATATACCTTTCTTTACAAAGACCATGTAGGCACCATTTTGCTCCTATCATATCCTAAAATCAGGTATTTACTTTGCAGCCACAAATTAGTTCTCATGGATTAGACAGCAATCTCAGCATGGTATACAATTAACCTCTCCTAACAACTGGCTCAGTTCTCATTTCCATAGCTACCCTTCCTGACACAAGGGAGTTCAAAATTCAAGTGTCACGTGCTGAAACAGAACCTAACCAAGGCACAGGTGGTTCTCTTCACACAGTTCTCCCAGCTCTTTAAACTTTCCAGATTAGACAGGCAGGAAGGACGTGACTGGCTATGAAACTCACTCCTGAGAGAACTGGGAAACGGAAAAAAAAATTTTTTTTCTATCATCTTCAAGAGATTATTTCTTCATACTCCCCTAAGGCCTGGAAGGTGGTGGCAGTAAATGTCTGCTAAGAATTATTAACCACTGTGGAGAAAGGAAAACCTATTTTTTCCCCTGAGATATTTCCTTACCATTCTTTGATTTAGAAGCAAACAATGGGCACATTAAGAAAGAGGCTGCACCACGTTTCTTCACTTCTCCAGTAAGTTAGGTAGTTAGGAGACAAAACAGAGTAAGGGAGAAAACATGGAGACAGACAGATGAGGAAAATTTAATCAATTTTACTTAAATTCTGAAACAAATACACTACCCTGATTTATCACCAAGTTCCTGATTTTACTCTTGTCCATACAATCTGTGGGAACCATCCCATAGTAGTATAAGGCAACAACTGAGGCCCTTCCCCACGCCACTCTCAGATGTACGTCAAACCTTAAAATTCACCAAAAACTCCAAGGTTTTTATTTTCACTTTTAATGATCTTTACTTAATAATAAAATGAAAAATAAGAATATAGGAATACATACAATCTATATACATATATTTATTGCAAATACTTAAAATTCTTATGTAAAATGATTTTCTATATTTGTGAAAAAATATGACTTTTTAAATGGTGTTGACACCAACTTCTCTGTACATACCCTCAATTCCAATGTTAACAATTCCTTTAAAAAGGCAAAAGACACAAAAGTTTAGCATTTACCAAACCAGTCTGTACAAACCTTATAGCCAGAAGGGAAAAAAATAGCTTGTGGTAAATAAGTCAATTTTCTTTTAAAATAAAAAATAAACCCCAAAACTATTCCCCTTATTGCATTTTTCTGAAATAATCTGAGTGTCTTTAGAGTAACTTCCTTTGAAATAATTTGTGCCTTAACAGTGAGGTCCTACATCAAACATACCATATATGAGAAATTCAAGGTCTTCCACTGTCACTTTTTACATAGATATTAAAATATATATTACTTAAAATATATTACTGGAAAGCTATTTTTAAAATTGATCTTTAATAGTTGTATCAAATGTAAAGCATTAAAAAAAATAAAGTAACCAAGAATCTACGAAGCTACTGCTTCAACTTTAGGAAATGTTTTACCTACTGTTCTCGTTCAATAGGTTTGTAGGTATTGAAACACGGTAGAAAAGGTCCCTGCCTATCATCATGTTTCTCAGAGTCTCTTTGGACTATTCTATAAATTGAGCTGAAACTACCCTTGGCCAAGTTACTTACTTAGCACACTGTTGGAATGAGATGGGGAGACTTTTCACTCCTTGCTATGATGTGAAACCTCTAGGTCAAAGAGAAAACACTCTGGCACTGCTCATTGATTGACAGTGAGTTCTAGAAATAAATAGCAGTGTAATGACCAGAGAAGCCCCCGCCCTCCCACCCCCTTACAGCAAATCACTTCACCAGAGAGTTAGTTATGGCTCTCTAAGATGGAGAAAGGCAATAATAATCAACAGAATGTTAACTGTCAGGTCATTAATATGTATGATTTTGCACCTTCACCTGGAAGGCAATGAGGTCTTCCTTTGGCTATTTAAATCTGAGATAAGATCTAAAACATGTACATCTGTATGCCTTCACAGCCCAATAGGTATGCTCTCTCCACCCCAAGAAAAGTTTCCCATTTGCCAGCTCTTTGAAATGTTACATGAAATACCACAGATAGCTTCAGTATCTTGAGCACAGGGGTTAAGGAACAGAAGCAGGACAAACAACTCCAGGTTATTTGGCTTTACTTTCTGTTTAATAGGATGGAAAATTCTAATCAATCAAAATTATTTAAGATTCAGGGAGACTTCTTTACTAGACAACTTAGAATCTTTATAAACAAGACTGAGGCTATATTAATAATGCTATCTCCTGAGGTGACCTGTAGTGGAGGGTATCTGAAGGCTGGAGAAGGGTACACGGAAGGCGTATGCATCAGGCATAATGCCTGACTAGTCACTGGAAATAATGCCAGGTCATACCCTAAGAATAAGCTCAGCACTTATTAAAACTTTTCAGATTGAGCTGAAAGGGAAAACAGTTCAAAAACTAAGGTAAAGATTACTTTAAAGGTGCTGTTAGAGTACCATACTAATAATTTAAAGGTTTTCTTGTTTCTACTGCTTCATTTTCTAAAAGGTCAGATTGTAATATTTTTTTTCTGTTCAGCTTATAAGATGAATTGCTTTCCACTTGAAACCTCTGTGTTGAAACAAACTGATAAATAGATTGGTATTCAATTTTACTACTCATCTAAGAGAATTTAACTGTTCTCTCATCTGGTCAAGATTGAGGCAGTGTATCTAGATGGCAATATCTGTTTTAGGAGTATTCCTAAATGCAAATATTTAGCTGAGTATTATTTGTTAAGATAATCTGGTGAACAGCAATGTTTAGGACCTATCTATAATAGCCTGGGTCAAGATGAAGAGGCACAATATGGTTTGCTCTCTAAATGAACTTAAAAATCCCTGATATCTTTCCTCCTTTCCTGGTTATAGTCTGCTCATCCTCAAGTTAAGGGAACCACAGAGAAAAACCTTTCTGATAGGAAAGGAGTAAAGCAGAAAAGTAACTTTCATCAATCCAAATTGGTAACTGACATTTAGCATGCAGTCAATTCTGAAACTCTCAACCTCTTCCAGCATGCAGACCAGCCCTCAGCCCTGGGACTATGGTGGAGTGAAGGGGTGGGTGGGGCAGGGAGAGTTCTACTCAGCAACAGGTCTCTTCCAACTCTTCCTGGATTGCCTAGAGTACTGAATGTTTGGGAGCACCATGATTTCTGTTTCCTACTGGTTCTTGGCTTGAAAATACACTCCTTATCCCCGATGCTTGCAGTCTTCTTATCTCTTAGCTGTGCGCATGGTGGAAGAAAGGGGGAAAGATGGAAGAACATATTGTCCTGACTGAAGCTGGAACACAGATATTAATCCTATATTGGCTTTGGGCCACAAAAAAGCCGGAAGTGAAAAGTGAAAAACAGTGAGTTTCTTATGAGGCACAGTAGGGACTGTGGGAAAGCATTAAACAGTGTATGATGTTGGGGTGGGGTGAGCAGGGGTGGGTAGTAGAATGGGGGCAAAACAGAGATTATTGCCTATTTTCTCCTAATCTGGAATGTGACTTAACAAGTTTAAACTGTTTTGCATTTTGTAAATATCACATCCTGAATATGAATGACAAATACAACTGTACTATGTTGCACTAACATTTGTACTTTACACATTCCAAATTAGGAGACTTGAAATCAACATGCAAATGATGCAAATTGACACCCGCCCATTTAATACAAAATTCTGGTAAACTGCAGGTTTATTTTACTGTTCCTTAACCATGATCTAAATATTATGTACTCACAAATTCTTCAGTCACTAGAGAAGGATGAAAAAAAAAAAAAAAAAAAAGTAAACAAGAAGGAAAAAACAAAACAAAAACAAGTAACAAAAAAACTTTGGGGCAAAAAAATTTTTCTTCCTTTCCAGATGTTCCCTTAGCCATTCACTAAGGCCCCTTTACATTAGAAATTTCTAGTGCTCAGACAGCAGTAATCCAAACAGGGGACATATTTTCTAAAACAGGGAAAGTGTCTTGTACTGTGCATGTATGTGCACATACACGTATGTGTAAAGTAAGATATAATAAGATTATGTCATCATGTTCAGATGCCTGGGAGGTCTAACAGGTTGAACAGAATGAACAAACGTGGCATTGGTGAGCTTTTCTACTTGTAAGAGCTGACTATAGAGCACTAGGTTCATAGGTTGAGAGAGAAGAGGAAAAGAGAGGCTACCTCATTCTAGTGTCAAAATTGTTTTCCAAAGTTCTTTACATTCAATTGAACAGTTTCTGTGGTTTCACTCCCCTTGCTCAACAAGATGTAGGTCAAATCACCCAATCACTAACACTTCCCTGTTCGTTTTATATTAGTACTTAAAAACAGTTATACTACAAATGAATAAGTGCAGGGACAGGATGTTTTTGTTGGAATTGTTGTACTGCACAGCCTATAACAATACGGGGGTCCCAGAGAGGTACTCCCTTCACAGACTACATTCACTGTCTCAGGGCAGGGGGTGCAATTAGGGAGCAGCAGGGATCCACAAATTCCAAGCAGAGTGCTTGGCAACAGTACTAGTCCATGGAAGTCAGGGCTTTGAGAGTCTGAAACACTACCTGTGAAATGAATACCTTGCCAAAAATTTCAACTTAAGAAGATTCCACCTAAGGTAAAGGGACTGAGTAAGCCCTGAATCCAAGTCCTGCAAAGGCTGAATAATCTAGGAATAGCCTGTGATCAGACTGTCCAGACACAATCAGTGTGAATGGTCATTCCTTCACTTTCCTTTTCCTAACTTCCTAGGAAATGTCAGAAGGGAGGCAGCTTCCTTTCACCATGCTGGCATTAAACTTTTCTCAGAGTCACAAGTAGTAGAACATAAATCTGAATTCAAAGTAATACATTATTACCTAAACACTTGGAAAATAATGTTAAACAAAATGTGACATATTTACATGATTTTGTAAGTGCAAACTTGTCACAAATTCACAAAGTCTTGCTTGACTCAGACTTACTATACAAGGTGCTCTTCCTCTATAATGTACTTTGTATTCCTGATTAAGTAACATTTGTCTCTGAAGACAACTGAAACCTACTTGTTTATTTCTGTGATTCCAAAAGGATGCAAAAAAACCAAAAGCAAAAAAGAAACCCAACTGGTCAACCCTTCCCTTCCCCATCCTTTACAGTGTGTCTCTTTCTAGTCTCCTTACCGAACGACAAGGCAGGAGACGCACAGTTTGGAGGGGCCAATGCAATCATCATGGCAGAAAGCTCCACACCCTTTGCACATGATCATGGCTTTCAAGCGGCAGTAACATTTCGAAGGTGTGCCCTCTATGCTGTTCTCTTCAGGGAAGGCCTGAACAGGAATGGTCTGGCCATGGCTGCTGGGATTCATAGCTTGGCTAGCAGGGATGGTAGTGACAGTCACTGAAAATGACATGACATCACCTACATTGCTAGATACCTGGCTACCTGGTATAGCAGAGTTATGGTCCATGTCAGATGAGGTGGAGACATTGATCATGCCTCTGTAGCTTGGCCCTATCTGGGTGGGGCTTCCATACAACTTCGGGGTTTGCAGGGGTGGGAGGAGTAGAGGCTGGTGGGTGGGGCTGTCTGCAGGCAGAGGAAGAACGGTAGAATTGAAAAGCTCCGGGCTGCTGCGCATTGTCTTACCTCTTACTGCACGAGCCATCTGCTTCTGTGCTGCCTGAATTAAATCTCTGGCTAGGGTCTTTTCATCAAATGTTTGACCTCTAGTGAACAGGTAATTCTCCTTACTTAAAGTGGTTTGCTCATTCACTGGTATCTCAGCCTTCACATTCTTGCTAGCTAAGCAATCACTGGTAGATAGAGTTTCCCTGCTGTGGTGTGCTGAACTTGCATCACCTTTGCCAGTACTCTGGGAAACCTGGGGCTCCTCTTTCCCCATGACAGATTCCTGCTCGTCACCAGTACTTTCCTCCTCAGTGTCATCTTCTTTGCTGCTGCTACTCTCTCCTGTTGCATTTTTACAGTCTGTATATCCCATTTTCAAGGCTTCAGTGGGGCTGCTTAGACAAAAACGGTCTTCAGGGTTTACAGAATGGGTCCTCCTAAAGCTCTCTGAGCCCCGGCCATAGGTAGAAATATTCAGTAAGTAGTGCCCGGCCATTGCAGGTTTGGATGTCCTTCTGCTAGCAAAACCCAGCATGAACCTCTGGCTTGTGGAGATGTCTTCCAGCTGGAAACCTGAGTGAGCAAAGTTGAACTGCGAAGGTGGCACAATTGAGAGAAGATTCTGCCTCCGAACCCTCTGAATGAGAGTCTGAAGGATCTGATCTTGGGTTGCTTTACTTAGTCCTTCTTGGTACTGGTGTGCATCAATGCTAGCGTCCCTCAGCTCCTTAGCTGAAAAGAGCTGAAGGGGTCTTGGAACGTGGGGGAGCTGCTTACTTTGCAAAGTTTTGCCCAGCTGCTGCTGCTGTGTAGCTGCATGGGACTGTCTCTCATTAACTTCCTCCCTGGTGCTATTTTCTGTTGTGTTGGTACCTATGAGTGCTCCAATCCCCCTTTCCTCTTTCATAGTCAGTGGAACTGTTTTCATTTCGACTTTGGTGAGAGGTTTAGGCAGAATTTGCTCCATGGGAACATCTTTGCCTTGAAGCAGCTGAGTCACTAAAGGATTATTAGCAGGGATACTAGAGGTTGGTCTTAAAGTGGGTCCATTCATGTTTAAAGAAGTTCCTGGGGTTTTAAGGCTAGAGGCTGCTGGCAAAGTGCTCGAGGGTGGAGCTGATCCGGCAGTTCCTGTAGTTGCACTGACCTGGGGTACAGGAAGCTTTTCTAAAGTGGCTGTGGTCAACAAAGATGTTAAAGGGGTGGGAGTTACAGCCACTGGCACACTAGCATCCGCCTTTGATGAAGCTGAAAGGTTAGGTATATTCTTACTGGGACCTGCTTTGAGCTCAACTATGCCATCAGCTACAAAATGAACAGGTGAGGCACCTGAGATTAGAGCAAGACCTGTTGGAGGAGAAGGTGCTTTCTCCTGTCTGCAACTACTGGGCCCCTGTGGATGGCTGAGAGAGGCCACAGTGGCTGTTGCCCGGGTGGGGTTCAGCTTATTATCCAATTTCTCTATGTGGGCTGGTGATGGGACGCTTGTGCATGCTGCACTGACGGCAGGTGTTGGAGGCACTGGGGGGGTTTGCTGTAGTTGTGCTCCAGAGACACTATGAGGCTGAGCCTGGCCTGGGGTGGTCTTGGTCTCAGACTGGGGCTGAGTCTCTGGACCACAGGGTAAAAGCTCTCTCGTACCTCCCCTGCTTCTAGTTCCTGCCAGTTCCAGTGTGGGGCCCTTTCCAGTTTCACTGACTCTGTCTGAGGCTGGACTGCCTCCTCTAGCAGTCTGCCCTTCACCACCCTCTCCTGGACCTTGTCCACCCCCTGGGCCAGGTCCTGGAATGGTCCCTCTAACTGAGGCGGCTGCAGCAGCTGCGGCGGCTGCAGCAGCTGCTGCCCTCTGTGCTTTGACCAGTTGGGCTTTTGCTTTGATGTCTGCAAGAGTTCTGGCTCCTGTTCTGTTAGGACTAGTGATGGAGACTGGAAAACGAGCCCTGGGAGAGACCTGCGATGGATGAAACGGCATTGGGGAGATTCTGGAGACCGGGATCTGAAAAAAGTAGAGGGGAAAAAACAACAGAGCTTAGTTTTCATTTATAAGAATAACAAAACTGCATTAGCCCTCATATTTTAAAAACAGATGAACACTACAGTACCTGTGACAAACATAGGAGGTCTATGGCTGAGAGGTCAAACCTTGGAGACAGCAACACCAGTTTGTCTCTAGGGTCCTTACATCCACTTTTTCTATTATTGGTGCCAAAGATGACTGCTTCTGCTCTCACCCCAAATCCCCATGCCTGTTTCCCACCTCAACTTCCTTATAATGTTACTACTACAAGTGCTCATTATGATACAAAGCTTCCTACGGTCTTTGCATTTTTAAAAAGTGTGTCTATGTTTGAGAAAGAAGAGAAAAGCAAGCCAGCCACCCATAACACTTCTTAGCTTTTTTCTTTTACTTCTTAGCTTTACTACCAAGGTCCAGGGGAAAATACTTGCTTTTGTCTGTTCTACACATATACACACACGCACACAGAGTTGGGCTGGATTATCTCAATTTACACAGGCTTCTAGATAGCGCTGGAAGAAAGACAATGTGTGATCTACAGGAGCCCCCACAATGCCCACGCACACAAGGGAGCATGTACATAATGTTTAACAGCCATTCTCATCTCTGGCTGGTATTATATTTACTTGAGCAACCTTTTAAAAATATACATGCTCTGGGTCCTATCCCAAAATGTACAAATTAAAACCCCCAGGACCTTAGGAATTTTTTTTTCTTTTTTTGGACAGGGTCTTGCTTTGTCACCCAGGCAGGAGTGCAGTGGTGTGATCTTGGCTCACTGCAACCTCTGCCTCCTGGGTTCAAGTGATTCTTGTGCCTCTGCAACCCGAACAGCTGGGAATACAGGTGTGTGACACCACCTCTGACTAATTTTTGTATTTTTAGTAGAGATGGGGTTTTGCCATATTGGCCAGGCTAGTCTTGAACTCCTGACCTCATGTGATCCATCTGCCTTGGCCTCCCAAAGTGCTGGAATTACAGGCATGAACCATTGCACCTAGCCTGAAAATGCCTGGCTAACATGGCGAAACCCCATCTCTACTAAAAATACAAAAATTAGCTGGGCGTGGTAAGAGGCGCCTCTAATCCCAGCTACTTGGGAAACTGAGGCAGGAGAATCACCTGAACCCGGGAGGTGGAGGTTGCAGTGGGCTGAGATCGTGCCACTGCACTCCAGCCTGCGCAACAGAGGGAGACTACAGCTCAAAAAAA